ATATATATATATATATATATATATATATATTATATATATATATATATATATATATATATATATATATATATGTATGTATATATTTGTGTATGTGTGTGTGTGTTTGTGTGCGTGTTTATAAACATATATATGCATATTTGTGTGCGTGCGTGTGTGTGTATGCGAGTGTGTGTGTGTGTGTGTGTGTGTGTGTGTGTGTGTGTGTGTGTGTGTGTGTGTGTGTATATATATATATATATATATATATATTATATATATATATATATATATATGTATGTATATATATATATATGTATATATATATATATATATATATATATATATATATATATATATATATATATATATATATATATATATATATATATATATATAGTATATATATATATATATACATATATTATTATACATGTAATGCATATATATACATATTATATATATATATATATATATATATAATATATATATATATACTACATATATTATGTGTATGTGCGTATGTGTGTGTGTGTGTGTGTGTGTGTGTGTGTGTGTGTGTGTGTGTGTGTGTGTGTGTGCGCAAGCAGATGATGGCCATGATATAAACGCCTCTAATTAATAAAAGTGTAATCGTCTCTCATGTAAATAATGACCCCCCCCCGTTCTCCGCCCACAGATACAGCTGTATGGTTTTAACGCAGATTTGTATCGCAACATGACTGAGGCCAGAATGGGATCCAACGGCATTGTCGGACTCTCCATCATGGTGCAGGTGAGGGATGGAGAGGGAGAGAATGGCAGACAGACAGAGCGAAGAGAGATGGGGGGTGGGGAGGAGAGAGAGAGGGGGGGGGAGGAGGTAGAAGGGAGGAGATGTTCCGTAAAAAATAGGGGTTTGATGTGTTCCGTAAAAATAGGGGTTTGATGTGTTCCGTAAAAATAGGGGTGTGATGTGTTCCGTAAAAATGAGTGAGAGAGAGAGGGGGGAGGAAAAGAGAGAGAGAGAGAGAGAGAGAGATGCAGTCAGGTAGATAGACAGACAGATAGAGACAGAAACAGAAAGCATAATTTGGATATTGTTAATGTTAATTGAGCTGGATGTTATTATACTCTCTACGCACGGGCAGCGTGGGATCAAATCNTGAAGTCTTACTGGAAATGAGCGGAGAATGCAATCATTAGTGAAATGAAGTTATATACAATTATAAGCGAGCGGAGGGAGATACGAGGTCTCCTCGTTCTTTGGTTGCATGTACTTTCCGTCAATAGTCAGGACAAAGTTCACATTTCCTCTGCTACTTCTTCACCCACACCCTCCTCAGAAGATATAAAACGAATATGTTACGACAAAAAATGTGTAGCTAGCCATCTTCAAAAAGATGAAGGTTGTAACAGAATATACAACGCAGAATTACAGCGCTCAAACGATTGGAAGAACGATATACATTCAGTATTTCGGTCTAAGATGTTGAAAACACAGAAAGTAAGTAGACTGGTATCAGTGTCAATTCATTACTGACATTATTCTTTCACTGGAGATCTGGCGGTATTCCGGACGTATATCACATGAAAAAGAAGCATAATCCATAATTCTGCCGCAGATGAAAAAGAAAGGATCATCAGCAGCCGGTATTGCAAATCCAATGTTGCCAAATTTGCTATTAATAAACCTGTGGTTGGGCAAGCACACATGACTTAGTGTCTATGTCTTTCTTTAAAATGCCGCCATATAATTCTAACTGATATTACTTAGAATGAATTATGTAATTAAAATAATCTACAAAGACATAACTGAACCACTTACGTAAGGCTACACGATTATAAAACACAGGTCAAATTATAAAATACAGATCTGCTATAATATCATCAAAATTATCAGTCTACTTCTTCCTTTACAAAACAATACTGTACATAATATATACATAACAGCTATCGATATGGCATACATCATAATTATGGTTTATACATAAATATACACATAAAATACATTAAATTTACATGATATGAGTTGACTTATGTAGTAGTGTTGATAAATGATAAGTATAGAGTATATATAGATTAATATATTATTAATTATATAGTATGATAATATATAGTGTACAATGATGATAATAATATATATATGTCAATGATAATCTATAGATGTAAAATAGTATAGTGAGTAATATGAGTTAATAGAGACTACTATATATTAATATGAAATATATTGTTACTACTATAATATATATATATATTAGTATCTATATATATATGTATATATTAATATATATTATATATATATATATATGATATTACATAGTATATATAGAAGGATATATATATATATAATATATTTATATATATAATATATATTATAATATATAATATATACATATACATACATAATAGTATATAATATAATACATATACATAAATAGTATAATAGAATATATGATGATAAATAATAGTAATTTGAAGTATATATACGTGCAGTAGAGAGTATCAGGTATAGTTATCAACCTATGTATGATATATCTTATATACAACTATACATACATAATACTCTCACTTGGCAAATACATGTCACCTGTCAGACGATAGCAGTTGTAATAGTACTTAATATATATAATTATATAGTAGCATGAAAATATATACGTAATATCTATAGCGCTAGGTATATATTATAGTAAGAGTACATATGGATCTATTAATTGATTAATATATTATATCATAGTATATTTATAATATAATTATTATGTATTAATCTAGAATGCTCATATTAGTATATTTAAATTATAGCTTAATAGTATAAATAGTAATCTAAACGTACTAATATGACATACGACACAAACACATCATCACACAAACACACACCACACACAACACCGACACCACTACCCTAACCCTATACTTAATATTATATAATATTATATAACATATATAATTAATTATATATAATACCTATTATATATTATATTATTATATATAGTATTAATATAAGATGTATATATTAATTTATATATATGTAAATTGTATAAAGGGTATTTGGTATACTATTATTACATATTATTATATATATATATATTATATATATATTAATATGTGTGATATATATATACTGTATTATGTGTAGTGTTATTAGGGTTTATGATTAGGTGGGTATACGTTTATGTATATTAGTGTTATTGATTATTAGTGTTATGTATGTGTTGTGTGTGCTGTAGTATTATGTTATAGTGTGATTAAAATTGGGTGTTGATACTAACTCTCTAATTATGTATGTATAAGTAGTTTATTTGTATATCAAGTTTATTTTATATATTATAAAATTATAATATAATAATATTCTATGAATTTATTTATCTATTTTATACATATACAATTTATACTAATCAATACATTAATATGTATAAATCTATTTTATGTATAACTAGTTTCATATCTATTATTTCCCTGCCACTATGTTTCATCAGAAGGTGATTGGAATTACTTCATACGGACTTACCGATAGCCATGACAGTTGCACTGGATATATCGAAATCCTAAATCCACAAACTCCATTCACTGACTTCCTTTTATTTAACTTGAAGCTCATGCGCGTGCGCTTGTTTTTTTAATATCATTTCTATAAATGGAATGACTACACCAGGATCTTTCCGTCCCCGTAATTTTTTAAATTGAACACTTAACTGTTTCTTTCTGTCCGTTATACTTTCTGTTCCAGATGCACCGATTCTGTATTCAATTGGATAGAGTACTTGTTTTCCATTTGTGTTTCTTTTTGGTGTTGATCATACATGATTTAGCTGCTTCTTAGTCACTGTGCGTTTCACCATTACATGCTTCGCTACATCAAGTTTCGCATTACCTCGTGGGGTGTAAAATCAAACTTGTTAATTAGTAGTATTTTGACTAAACCTACTATAATATATAACTATGGTACTTCATTTACCTATATACATATATTATGCAGGTAAATTTTAAAGTGTGTAATACCTTGTGAAATGTACCTCAAAATATAACCTAATAACGCTCTTACCAACCTAAGTAATACAAATTTGCTATATAATCTCTGATATGATAAATTCCAGGTCACTAAATATATAAAAAAGCAATATACATCCAAGGTCATATATAGTCATACCAATAAGTCCTAAGTGTACCATGAATAAGTAGTATTATAGTATAATAAAGTAAGTTACGTATAGCGTAAACTATATAAAACTATACCAATCTACTATGCAAGCATATATTCATATAGGTTAAAGTATTAAATATTATAGCTAGGTTATTATGTAGCCCACTATTAATATGTTACTATAGATATTATGATACTTGGTAGGGTATAATTAACATAGATTTATCTCATAATGTATAAGCTATACTATAGGAGTGACCTTGATGTTATATACACATATAACATAGCATACATATTGTAATACTCACATGACATATTCACCTCATATGAATATTATATACATTAATACGTATATATTTAGGTGATAATGAGTTATAGTACGTAAATACTATGGTTATCATATAGATTACTAGTAGTATATTAATGATAACTTACACGATCTATCTTGTTGTGACATTTTTTTGGTCTTTCCTTTTCATCCAATTTCGTCTTGTTATCCAACGACATTGCAGACCAGACACTCACACGAACAGCTATCAGTCAGGTATGTGCGACGAATAACTGCTCAACACTGAAACGCGCGGCCACCCGCTGCTCTTCCCTTTTTACAAATACCCCAAACACACAGGGGTGTGCGAAATAAACGCACACTCTCCCGCGCCAAACACACTTTGATGATTGCGGCGACGACGCGCTAGACGGGCTGAAAGGGTATCGAAACGGACTGTCTGCCCAAGTACAATAATGTAACTCTGACGAACGAACGAATTGTATATTTAAAGCCTAGAAATCTCGGATTTACAGGTATAATCTCATCAACGAAAATTTTCCTTTGAAATGCGGAACTGGATCAAGGGACAAACGGATGTTCGCCTACACCGGAGCAGTAGTACGCTGGGCATAGATGTGGCACTGGAAAGAACGTTGTTTAAGCTCTTTTTTTCACGGTGATTTCCAGTGCTTGTCATACTGTTGTATTGTTGCTTTATTTTCTGCAATTTATAAGACGGGGGTTGAATATGTATAGATGAAATCAGTACAAAAGAATATAGTAATATGTATTGCAGAGAGCAGAAAGTAAAAGAATAGTAGGGGAAAAAAGTGATTAGAAATATTTAATAAGAATTGATAGAAGGAGCTTGTGGGTGTGGTATTCGCGCAGCCGTCGGAAATATGTTTTGTTTGTTCATAAAACCTACAGCGCACTGTATGCAATAGTAGTTTACCAACAAGCTCGTGGGGGGTGAGTAGATGATAGGTAATAATAAGAACAATCGAGGGCAACTACTAATATGTGAATTTAATTGGTACGGGTTATGACTGGATGTGATGGTTGATAATGTTAACAATGCTTGGATTAAATTCTTATTATCAATTATTAGCATGGGATGATATGTGAGGTCACATATTAGTTAAATCATTTTTACAACGTGCGAACAAATGGGGATTTTAACGATATGATTTTTAGGCATTTTTTTTCAAACAAAACATTTGGCTGTTATTTACCACTGCAAGTAAAGTAACCTTACTATGAGAGATATTTATCGTGGAGGAATTTGTTTGTGAGTGATGAGACGATTTGTAATCAAAGTGAAAATTATCATTATTCCCATAGATGACATGTATACATTATGGCATTCTTGTCGGTACGGATGAGAACGGGGTTAGTGGAGCGTGAATGTCCCAACGTGCCGACCATCAATGACAGTTTCATGACGCCTTCCACTAAAATTTCCCAATAACAGGGTGATTATAATGTCGAACGGTCATGTATATTATAGAAGCTGTCGCTCATACATATTCATCAAAATATTAACTATTTCTAGATTATTAGGCTTTCCGTGGTTCACTATTTGATTCTTAGAGATTAAGGCGTCATTTAATGAGAATAGGGTATGGTCGTTGGAGTTTCACTCGGTGTGTCGCTATTCATCACAAGCTTCCTGTAATTTTCACGTCTACTCGGGCATAGTGGTTAACGTTGCATTCATAGTTCGACTTCCCAGCGTCGTATATCACTCACTTCACAGACGAGAAGAAAACGAAATATGAGAATTATGTGGTTCCACCTATGTCATCATTCCTTGGAGAGATCTGATTGTTAACCATCAGGTGTACCTCTACCATGTGCTTTAGTCAGAGATCGCCTGCGCGGCTTATATATTTCCCTGTATGCGTTGATAAAAATTCACTGGCAGCCCGGTACGGGGCCCTGCGCCAATCGAATTGACGATTGAGTTACTGCTCGAATTCATTCGCGGAACACCGTACATGATTCTTACACAAATTCTTGGTAAAGAGTTGAGGAAGCTCCTATATTGTGATTGATAAGAATATTATTCTGATAGACATTAATGCCTGAATGACGCTACCTCATATGTTCGCTATATTCTATACTTAATATGAACCAATTTGCTAAATCCGGATAACTAATGTAACTGTTCTGTATACATGCCAATAACGTTGCTATTTTAACTATGATTAGTTACAATCTTATATAAAACATTCTTTAAAGGTTAATATACATAACTGTCGTAGTAAATGTAGTACAATGCCAGTGTTTTTAATTGATCCATCAGTGCTTGTAGAACCTTACAAAGAGAAAAGATTCCAGAGAAAAACAGATATTTTTTCTTCATAACTCTATCAATAATTCATTATCCAAAATCAACAATATGTGTTGATTAATCATAATTTTTATCCTATTAACTATCAGATAAATGAATACCATGTCTGAAACTTATGGAATGCGTATGAAGCATATATGGGCTTAACGTTACAATCCTGTTCCCATATAATTATAGGTTGTTTTGGTAGTTCATAATGGTTGAGCAAATGCAAAGGGCCTACAACAGCATTGCCCTGAAAAATGGATATTGGATCTTGTGCCATGTCATATATTCTAATTGGGGCTGGATTATCTGATTTCTTATGTGAATATAACGATGTAATATCAACAGAAGCATTTCGCCATTATGGACAAAATAACACTATTCCATTTTTGCTACATCACCAACAAATATAATTATGGAGATTATATGTATTGATCAATTCATTTATAGAATATGTTCAATAAATAAGAAAACAAAAATATTATATAATATTAATATGGTAAAATATATATATGTTATTTATATATGAAGAGATATATAATAATTAAGTAGTATAGTAATATATATTAGATAATTAATTAGTATATATATTAATATATATTTATATTATATATATATATAATTAATTGAATATGTATTATAAGTTATAGAAGCATAATTAATATATAAGTATTGTTTATATGTATAATTAAAGTATAATTCAATTCATATATATATTTATTATATTATATCATACTTTTATATAAATTTATATGAATGTATTGATTAGTATTAATTTAATAGATATATATCATAAATTATAATGTTATTATATATGTGTCCATAATTATAGCATATACATGGAATATATAACAAATATTATATATATTATAAATATGATTATGTATATTATAATATATATATATATATATATATATAATATATCATATATCATATTATATATATATATCACGTTATATATATATTTGTTCATACATATATTAATCATGATATATATATAATAACATTATAATATATATATATATATTTTATTATATATATATGTTAATTATATATATAAATGCTATATAAATCTTAATTTAATTACTATATATATCATATAATAATTAAATAATATAATTATTATATATAATATATAAATCATTATATTAATATTATTATATATGTTAATATATATTGATAGTATACAATTAAATATATGACTAATGGTAATATATGTTAGTTATCACTACATATATAAATATATATAATATATTGAATTAATATATGTAATATCATAAATATATATAATTAATATATTTATGTACATTACTACACACACACACACACACACACACACAACACATCATACACATACACTAGACACTACACACTACATATATATATATATTATAATATAATATTATATTATTAATATATTAATATTTAGTTATAATGTTTTATATATTATTGATTTTATATAATATAATAATAATATATTTTGTATATGTAATATATTATTTATATTATAAAAAAGTATATTATATATATAATTATATATATATATAATATATAATAATATTATATATATAATAATACATATCTTAGATATATTATCTTTTTAATATTTAACTTATATGTATAATATATTAATACTTTTATATTAATAGATATAATATATATAGTTATAAATGAATAAGTATAAGTATAATATATAAATCGGTGAAAGGTATAACTTTTAAATATATATATAGAATATATAGATATTAATATATAATAGGTGTGTGTGTGTTGAGATGTGTGTTTCGTGTTGGGTGGTGTGTGTGAATGGTAGGTGGGTATTGGTGCTGTGTGTGTGTGTGAATGTGTGTACTATATATATAATATATGCTGTTGGTGTGGTTGTGTGTGGTGTGTGGTTGTGTGTGTTTAATGGTGTGTGGTGTGTGTGTGTGTGCGTTGTTGTGTGTGTGTGACTATATGTCAGGAAGGACGAAAAACCCATGCCAAAAACAAATATGAAATGAGACGTAATAGGAAAATCAGCAGAGGCGGCTTATTCCATAACGACGACCCCATGTAGAAATGGGAGAAAGCTGGGATGTGTTTGTATGTATGTGTGTACGCATATCTATATGTATACATACATACATAATTATGTGTGTGTGTGTGTGCGTGTGTCTTTACAAAACACACACATTCATATCTATCTAAACGAAACACACACACACATATATACATATTTACATAATATGTATATGTATACACACACACGCACACATGTATAAGTATGTGTGTGTTTAAGTATGTTGATGTGTGTGTGTGTATGTGTGCGTGCGTTTGTGTATGTGTACACTTATACGTAAACATACTACCTTTAGATTTATATGTACAATGTCTATATACTAACTGACTTGGGTACTTCACAGTACCCAAATGAGCGTAATGTTTCAATGTATCAGTTCAGGAATTCAGAGGGCGGCACTCTGTGGAACGCTTTCGTGTGCAATTCCTTCGCTCGAGCGATATGTAAAGGCTAATTATGCCTGAATAATCACCTAGTACCAGTATTCTGGGCAGTAATTGTACCTATTCTTGCGTTAATGGCCCCTAAACCTTTTGTAAAGACCATCCACATAGCCTAATTTACTTATTAAATGCAAAGCTCCAATTTTCCAGGTAAAAATGCAGGATAAGGTGTGATAATGGGCGGAAACTCCCGGAGGCTTAGTCCAAGTGGCCTGTAATTCCCTCTGCTAAGGCGATGTAATGATTATAAATGATTATTGTTAACAGTGCTTGAAGATCGGTACCGGTCGTAGCCGGGCCAGCGCAACAGCTGTTAATGGGAGAATCACAGTGCTCTCTGTTGTGGATTAAGGACCAGAGATATGCATGTATTCATTTATCACTATTATCATCACTGGTATTATGATTGTCATCATTAACCTTATTGTTAGTGTACCGATTATATATATATATATATATATATATATATATATATATATATATATATATATATTATATATGTCATACATTAACAGAATAATATTGCCCATAGGTCTAGCAGACCGAGTGACATTTGGAAATTAAAGATTATGATGTGTGACCTTTTTATGATTTAAGAGGAGGGCGTATAAAACATTTTCTCTGCCTGTGACTTACGCCTGGAATTAGGTAATTTCGAATTTCTTCCTTTTCACTTCGTGCGTATGTGTGTGCGTATACAACACACACACACACACATACATATACAAACACACAAAAACTCACATATATATGCGTGTGTTTATAAACATATACATACACATAC